GACGTAATATCAATATCTAGTTTGACTAATTGGAACAATCAGGCTTCTAATATATCCTATGGTACAATCAACAATATAATAACAATCACTCTTTTAACTTAATTTTAAATTTTTTAACTTAGAACTCAAATTAACATTTTTAATAACATTCTTTAGCTTTTACATTCTCAATCAAGCGATAAATGCATGTATATATAGAGGACGATTTTATTATTCAGATCATTGTACTCACTGATGAAGCCTTAACCGGCGAAACGTCTGAGGAATTTAATAAATAATCTCACAATTTGCCTGAAGAAATCCCTTTTTTGGTTTAAAATAAACCAACCGACAGAAATAATCCAGGCATGACAATCAAAACCTATTCATATATATATATATATATATATATATATATATATATATATATATATATATATATATATATATATATATATATATATATATATATATATATATATATATATATGTTAATCATCACGATATGGCATTTATAATTTTTATATATGTTAATCACCGTAGGTAAGTATTTTTTAGTGAACAGGAAAAGTTGAGACTGAGTCGGATTCGACCCGGCGACCTCTGGGTTACAAGCCCATCGCTCTACCAACTGAGCTATCAGCCCGATGGTATATTCGAACCCAACCAGTCACAACCATTCCTGCACACCCACATGGCCACTCACCAAAGCCATGCCGAATTTGTATACCATTTCGACAGTAACATGTCTTCTTCAGCCGTATATATGTTAATCATCACGATATGGCATTTATAATTTTTATATATACGGTGATTAACATATATATATATATATATATATATATAGAATTTCGCTTACCTCAAAATTCCGCAACAGTCTGTTTCATCAGTAAAGAATCATCAGGCGGTACCGCCTGATGATTCTTTACTGATGAAACAGACTGTCGGAATTTTGAGGTAAGCGAAATTCTACATTTGCTCTATCTTTATGATATTGAGCACTCTTTGCGTTTCGTATACACAAACCTACTCGTATATATATATATATATATATATATATATATATATATATATATATATATATATATATATATATATATATATATATATATATATATATATATATCCTGAATATATATATATATATATATATCCTGAATATAGAACTTTAATTAATTTATACAGATTGGGCATTCAAACAAAGACCATTAATTAAATCAAACAACGTATCTATATTAAACGTAACGATATATCTATATATAAAATAAATGAACTTTCATTTACTTCAAAGCTATAATATAGTTTCTATTAAAAGTTACTATTCCAAATCAATGTTCACCATTACAAATACTCCTAATAATCTATTGCTAATATATAATCGTCTAATCATTCCATCTTTGTCCGATATCTGGTACATATATGGTATTTTCTTTTTACACTGACCTGAAAGGTCTGAAAGGTCAAGTGTCTTAAATCCCTAATTTTCTGTTTTCTTCGTCGTCGAGAAATCGAGTTTGCGTTAGCGCACCGCAGGCTCAGGGTGCAACGATTAAGCCAAAATTCCATCAATTCGAATGCTATCGATTCCTCGAGTGCTTGATTTAATTTTTATAGTAACAAGCTCGTATTTATTATTTATTTATTTTTCATGCCATGCTTGTGGTACATCTTTCTCAGTATTAGCCCACACACTTGTACGCACGCGCACAATTCCGAACTCCAAGAGTAGAGCTCCAGTGACATTTTTAGTTCAGATTCAAAAAGGCGACTTTTCACTGAGTGATCTATATACATTTTACACAGTTTCGTTGAATTTTTAAAGAATTGTGCCAATTTCCTGCGGATTTTACGTTGTGTCACACTCTGGACTTTCTTGCGTGTTGAATTAATGTGTTTTTCTTTGTATAACGACTCGAAAACCGCAAAAAATGGAACCAGCGAATTTATATGTCCTTAATTAATTATAATAGGACTTGTTTTAATTGATGATATGCACCATAGCGCGTATGTCCTCATTTTCAAGCAGGTCAGTGTGAACGCTGACCAGGCGTCTTGTTTCTTATATTTTCCCATACATATATGTCATAACATGTACTTTGATGACCCTTTCAGTTGTTGTTTCTGTGATTTTTTAACTATTTTAACTACAATAAATACGATAAATACTATAAAAACAAACAAATCTCTAACTTTTAACGTTAATATACATGGGCGTAAAGTACATGTCTGAGTTAGTCCCGAGTATTATTGTGACGCTACTGTACAAGTATGTATCCAAACGCTGCAGTGTCCTTATCATTTTTTGGATCAGTACAAAAAGCCATTATATTACCGCACGCGGAATTTCTCACATCGCCATCACATCCACGTACCGAAGTACCGAAGCCAATACATGAGTCACAACTCTCGCAGTCGTTTTGATTATTTGCCACTAATCCAATCCGTACATTGTTGTAAGCAAATGCATAGTGTATATTTCCGTTGTCTATATTGAACCCTTGTTGATTACAGTTGTTTTGCAAATTCGAATCCTTGACCAGTGACTTCCATGCGTTCTTTTCAATGGTTGTTGCTATGAAATTTCCGCCTGCGATTATATTGAACAGCGAACTTGCTTGGTGGCCGATCAAAATCCATTTTGTAGCACCATTGACTTTCATTCCGAGGCATATTTTTTTAAACGGTGTGTTCCAGTAAGAAGCAAGTTTTGTTTGTTTTTCATTCAAACCTTCAAGTCCATCTTCAACTGCGTAGGTTTCCTTGTTTGTCCAGTAATGAGAGATGTAGCTGAAGTCATTCTGTAAATGAAAATGCTTACTTATTCTGTTTATAATTATTAATTTATTACTATCTATTGTTCTTAAAATTCATTTGTAACCGGGATGATCTTTACCTTGTTGCCATCCATTTTCATCACTAGTGTCCAGCCTCCTGTCCCGCATCCAGGTATTTCAGTCATGTGACAGTAAACTGAATATTCTTCGAGTGATTCATTATTTCGTAGTTTGTAAACACCGTTGGAGAGTGAGCTGAATAGAGTATATAAGGAGTTATAGAAATGTTGGGAAAATAATGTCGTAGCAGTAACTAAAATTAAACTAACTTTCTTAATACTTCAAAGGTATATCTATAAACTGTTTTCCCTACAAGGCATTTACGTTAAAGTATATACAGTGACATTATGAAGAAACTCCATTTACCTGTTTCTCTTCAGCACTTCCTTACAAGATGGCAACAGATCTTCAATTGCTAAAAGGTGAATAGTACAGTATACATCTAGAATTGCTGTCAAAATAAGCGTCAAGTACTATTTATGGACCACATAACCCCCAACCCTTTTTCCCACAATAATTTCCGAGGTTCCTTCCAAATCCTTTTCCCGCCGACAATGTAAAAAAGTAGAAAATAAAATAAGTTCTGAGAGCTGCATCTTGAAAATTCAAGATATGGATTAAAATAAAGACAAAACTTATGGCGATACTTCGAATTATTTAAAAGCCTTTGTCAGACGAACTGCATGGCTATACAATAAACTATAGCCTATATACATGATAGATTTTGACAGTAAAAATGTATGATATTTATGTTACTATGGTAACCTGCGATTGCATGCACTACAATGTCTCAATCCACTTACGAAGTAATTTATGTTGGAACAATGTTTTCGAGCTATGCAGTTGTGCTGTTACGAAAGGGTGGGAGGTTGTTGCATATTTCTAGAGAGGCGCACTTTGAACTTACTTTTGGATAAATTTTGTGATTTCGGTGGAGTGCTTGATGGAATTGTTTCCGGATATTTCTACAAATAAAGAAGTATGCAGCATAATTAACATGTGTTTCTTAATATGTTTTCTTTAAACAAACATAAATAATTACTCAGCAAATAAATGTTGCATGAACAAAGTATAGCATGCTGCTTCGTGTCTACTCATTGTAAAATGAATATATAGACTAGGTTAGAAAAGCTCTTTTAAAAAAATATGGTCATTGTTAACTTATATTTTCAATTTAGAAATGTCGACAAAATACTGCCAATGTTTCAGTATTCTAACTTTACACTGTAGATATGTTATATATATACAGTGACTAAACATACCCCAGCTTGAAATCATAATCAGGAGTAGTAAATTTCTATATGTCCTGCAGTTCTAACATAGATGAGAATAATTCGATGATAAATCACCTCAAAATTTCAATTTTTTGCCGTGTATCTATATAGTTTTCGTTTGTACTGTAATATATTTAAATATGTAGTCTTTGGGAATGGGCACCTAAATTGTATGGTGTATAGCTAGAAATACTGCATGGAAACCTTTCCTGTAGAATCCAGTAGATATTGTTTGAATCAAACTGAAAACTCGAACTAAGTCTTCAGTCTTGCATAATGAAAGGCGCGTGCATGCACTGACCACTTTGCGAGTATTTATTTTATAGAGCTAGAAGAGTTGAATTTTCTAACCTTTTTAATCACATAAAGATGATTGAATTCATGAGCTTTAGATGTCTCTTGAGTTAGTGTCTTGCTGTTGAGCTCACATAGACCTTTACCGATTCCTGAAGTTTTATAATTGACTGACGCACAAGACCCATCTGCAACGCAAAGCATACCGCACTCTAACTCGCTCCCTGCCTGTTTTGTTTCCATGACATGATTGGCCAAATATTTTTGTACATTTCTGCGAAAGAGTGCTTCCCTTAATGAGCATTCGCCTTGCTGTGTTGTTATCCAGACCAAAATTAACGCACAAAGGCTTGAATGGCTAGTCATTGTATAAGAGAAGTGGGCAGCCTTTAAACGTGCAGTTATAATCTGCTGTAGTTTGTCGACGGTTGTATATGATTATATAAACACAGATATCATGTCTTATTTAATGCATTAAGTGCCTGTTATTAGAGCAGCAATTTAACTGTTTTTATGCAATTTGTGCATCTGAGAGGATTTGAATACGTCATGCCGGTGTCGTTAATTGAATTGCGAACATCATGATTTTAAATATGTATAGTTTATATTGACCTTAGCTAACCATTTGACTGACATGCTGTCATTACATGGACATGTGATGATCGGAAGGGAAATGAATTCAGGTATAACGCTCAGAAGCGATTATAAATTCCCGTCACGTTTGGCTGCAACTCCATTAATTAAAATGACAAGGTTTACGCTTCAGTGATTCCTGAGGATTATATATTCAATTCGGCCACTTCCTTCCACGAGCCATTCTCCACTGTTTACTCTACTAGATCTGCTTAACTAAAGCGTATTTGTATCGAACTGCTTCATTAGCGTAGTGAAATTGAACTGCTTAATTAGGGTTTGGGCGTGTTACCTCACCCACCGTTCCTATGTAAAACAATAATTTATGTCCTTTTAATTTTTACATATAATGTAATTTGAAATTATTCAGATTTATTAAAATGGTGTTGTGCCTATGCGCAAAGCCATATTCATTCCAAACGGTTTCTTCATGTTGTTTTCCCAGGAAACGATCACGTCAGTCTTATTGGATAATTTATTATGGGTATAGGGCGGAGGAGGTGATGAATGAACATCATGCAATTGGCAGTATATCTGTCAATTAATATTCAAATTAAATCAGTCGTTGATTTGTATAACTCGTATCAAAGTTTAGTATTTATAAGTTACATGTTTTTTATACTTCTTGTGTCGTCTATATCCTTAGTTTCGCAGTTTTTCAAGCATTTTACAAATTAAAGGTTGAAAAATCACTATCCGGTGGATAGCGCTATCCAGCCTTCGTATACATCCGGCCCCAGGTGTTTTAGAGAAATACACCCACAAATGGAATCTTAAGAATGAAATACGTATTGACAATGCAGAGTTTTAATTCTCAATGTAGAATCTTGAAAGTACCGAACGTTCAAAATTTAGCATTATTTCAATAACTAACCAAATTTTGATTCCTATAATATACAGAATACGACAGAATAGACGTTGTGAAAAAGTTAATTAAACCTCTTTTTAATGCACTTTTATACCGTTCTGGAAAGATGAATTTCACAAAGAGCATGTACAAGTCAAACCTATGTTAGAAATAACGATACATAATTAATCAACCTTTTCTTCAATGCTACTGAACAGTTTCCGCTATGAAAAATTACCATTGCTATTCCCAGTTATGGTTCACCATTACATATGGTTCAGCATTACATATGGTTCAGCATTACATATGGTTCAGCATTACATAATGGTCTAATGAATCCATCTTTGTCTGGGATTGTTTTACTCTAGTATACAATAAATACGATCAAAACAAACATACAAACAAATCTCTAACTGTAAACTTTGATATACATGGCGCAGAAGTATATATCTGAGTTAGTCCCAAGTGTTATTGCGACGTTACTGTACAAGTATGTATCCAAACGCTGCAGTGTCCTTATTATTTTCTGGTTTAGTACAGTAAGAAGTCATTATATTACCGCAAGATGTATTTCTCACATCACCATCACATCCACGTACCGAAGTACCAAAGCCAATACACGAGTCACAAGTCTCGCAGTCATTTTGATTATTCGCCACTAATCCAATCCGTACATTGTTATAAGCAAATTTATAGTGCCAGAACTTATTTTTGGTGACTATATTGAATCCTTCTTGATTACAGTTTTTTTGCAATAACGAACCATCGATAACAGACATCCATGCTTCCTTTCCAAAGGTCGTTTCTTTAGAAGTCCCGTCTTCGATCACACTGTGTAGCGAGTTGGCGGTGTAGTTTGACGCTATCCATTTTGTAGCACCATTGACTTTCATTCCGAGGCATATTTTGTTAAACGGTGTGTTCCAGTAAGAAGCAAGTTTTGTCTGCTTTTCATTCAAACCTTCAAGTCCATCTTCAACTACGTAGGTTTCCTTGTTTGTCCAGTAAGGAGAGCTGTAGTTGAAGTCATTCTGTAAATGAAAATGCTTACTTATTCTGTATTTAATTATTAATTTATCACTATCTATTGTTCTTAAAATTAATTTGCAACTTGGATGATCTTTACCTTGCAATCTCGTTCCCCGAGCCTGCGATCCTTGGGAAGGAAACGAAGGCTCTGGGATAATCCATCTCAGAAATGAATATGATTGGTTGCTGGTATACAATGGAATGTTGCAATTTTGCAAAAATTAATTTTTAACCGTATATTTTAATATACAACATGGCGGCCGTTTAGGAGTGTACGAATATTGTTTTGGTTTTTCAGAGCTGTGCTATATACTAATACTACAAAGGAACGTATACTTAATGCGTACAATATCACAACAGTTAAATGGAGTGGGAAAACATTACTCATATTTGTGTTGTACAGGTTTTCTGTAGTTTTAATCTATACATATTATACAGTACTGTCAGCACACTGTACTATTTGACTATAATATCAAATATGTGCTATATTTTGCAAATACTATTTGTGTCAGAAATGATTAATAACTTTTATTAATTTGTCTTTGTGTTTATTTAATTGCGAAGAACTAGCTAATGACTAGTTTCAACAAATCCAATCTTGGGATTTACTGTTATATATTTTATTATTTTATAATGTATATACTGTACTGTAAACTTTTCAAGTGCAGGAGTATGTAATACTCATTTTAACTTGTAGCATGTAACCCTTCCCTATATGGGTGCATGTGAATATTTTGCTGTTATAATTTATTTATAGAAGACTAAGAAGAGTTCAAAAAATCTTTATTCTCTAAATAAACCACAATTTCACATGTAGTGATATTGAACTTGTATTCTAGGCTGCATACATCTAATACACATAATGAATTCTTGGATTTCACTATGGCATTTTGCACGTTCTGACGGGAGGTCAACCTAAAATGTATTGATGCTTATGCTGTACTGGAGTGAGCAAATGATATGAAATTGCATGTATTTGCCACCAAACACAAGGCCAACACATACAGTGAAAAATTAATTCACTCTGATGACTGTATCTCGATTTGGAGTTGACCCCCGTCAAATTTATGACGTCATATGAAACACAATAATACATAGTATAATATTACAGCTAATTGTAGCATAAAGTATT